TAGAGGATGATGACCATGGCGAAGCGAAGCAGCTTGCTAGGGATAGTCTGCAAATCTTAATTAAATCCCATCGAAATCCAAAATTAAGAAGCCCAGAACTCACAAAGGGGCTCGCAAGGAGGAGGAAGAAGCCGGTCTTAGCGAGTCCCATGGTTTGGGGAGTACCTCGCTAAGAACCTTTAAGGAGGCCTTTAGTCCACACGAGTCCCCTTTAGTCCCACTTAACTTAGTCCCAACACCTATCAAACATGGAAATGTGGTCCTGTCCAGTCCAGTCCCATTTAATGAGGCCAAACAAACACACCCTTAGTGGGTTGACTTTATGAACATTAGGATGCTACTGTGCTCAGTTTTGCGTCAACTATTCTGTTAAGTATTCTATATTTGCTCTTAAAGTCTATTTCTAAGTTTTCCCCTACCTTTTTTCCTTGAGCCTTCGTTTCTTAGTCGCATCTTCTAACTGCAACATTTGTAAGTCTTTGGTTCATGTGTCCAAATCACCTTAACTGATTTTCTCTCATCTTATCTTCAATTACGTTGCTCTTACTTTATCTCAGATATCCTTGTTCTTAATCTTATTATTTCTCATGTGAGAATAAATATATATGGATAAGTTGGCCTGAATGTGTGATACAGATGTATACAACTTTTTAAAGTGTTTTTGTACAAAACATAAGGAATTGTTATTAGCACTCCAAAAATCTCATTCCATACTCCAAACTTTCTATATTATGAAAGAAAAATATACTTGTAAGGAGTGTAGAATGAGATTTTTGGAGTACCAATAACACTTCCCTAAAACTTATTGATAATGCTTTTTCTTGAGAAATGTTAAGGAGACTCTCAATAGTGTGACTCTTTATGTACAATACGCCAACCCATCTTTTTGGCGCAATTCTTCATAATATTAGCACGAAAATTGTGTCAAAAAGATAAGGTGACGAAAAGTACACGGATAAATCCACTATTGAGAGAGTCTACTTAATTAGCATTTTGCTTCTTTCTAATCTACTATTAATTATTTACTCTTCTTTCTTGGTTGGGGAAATGGTGTGCGGTCATCAAACCGGAAGCCCCTATATTCGACAATTTTTTTTCAGAATTCCCGCATCCCAAGGTCTTCATGCGTGAAGATGTAGAAGATGACGGCGGTGTTGAAGCCGAAGCTGCTACAAGTGAATCAGATGAGGAAGAAGAAGATAGCAGATCAAGTTGGACCCGAAATGAGCTCGAGGCCACCACCAGAATGTATATTCAGCTGCCTCGTGGTGGTGGTGTTGGCGGCGCCGGAAGTCCTTGAATTGTAATCTGTATTCCCACACCATTTACAATTTTGTTTTACTTGTATATAGTATATATATTTGAAGTTGCACCAATTAACTAAATTGAGTTCTTAGCTGAAGTATTCTCACACTTTTTTATCTATACAGCTCCAACTAGTTCAAATACCTCATGGGCATATTTTTATGTAATTTTTTTTTTCTTTTTTGTGTTTTTGAACACTAAACATAAGAGATGCAAATAGGTACATAACCATCACACCATGCTTTATAAGGGATGCAAATAGGTACATAACCATAAAACAATATAAAATATAAAGGAAGAATATTTCAACTAAAATTTTAGACTTGATAAAGTTCTCTGTTTGAATCTCGCATATGATCCCCGTATCGTGATCTCCCGTGCCAGTACTGTCAGCAAATAATTAACATTAGATTTAGAATTCATCATTATATTTTATCCTCAAATCGTACGATAAGATCTAACTAGTTACTTCCAACCTTGTTTTAAGTTTGATGATGAATCAGAAAGGACCACAAATCCATTACGACAACAGATAATATTATGGCACGTTTACGTATCCGTAATCGGAACCAATTTAGTGTATTGCATGTGCTTTGTTGAATTTTCATCTCACTTGAATCTTCCAATAATTTATAGCTAGTAGGGTTGATGATTACCTTATCATTTTTTTTGGATCAAAGATTACTTTATAGTATCTTCACCAAAATGCGCGGACCAATTAATTAATTACTTAATTAACTCTCTTTAATCGATAAATGATAAGAATATTCTGTCAATATGAAATTTTTTACAGACTTTCTCAAAATAGAACTTTCTTTGAATTCTTTGTCATTTTAGAATTTAATATTAATTTTTATGTTAATTTTATAAAATATTGTGCTAAAAATATGAGATAAGAAAAGTCGAGCGTCTCATTTTTTAGAGAACGACTTTAAGAAACTTAAATTGACGTATAAAACAAGATTTTTTAAAAAAAAAAATATCTGGAAAATGAAAAGAATTATTCAACGTCATAGATTTCAGCATACCGCCATACATGCAGAGGCTGAGCTGTATGTTATCTGTTTCCTTTCTTCTTTTCTCTCCACTTTGCGTGAAACCATGACCCTCACCCAGATGAGCACGGCAGCATGGCCACCATACAAGTTGAGTAGTTGTTGCACCATTTCTATTATATTATATAAAATACAATATCCATAAAATACTAAAAATTAAGCTCGTTTGAAAATGTTTTAAAATGGATGAAAATGTTTTTAGTGAAATGCTTTTTGATCCAATTCATAATAAGTGAATCATGAAAAAACGCTTAAGTGTTTCATACAAGAAGCACATAACCGACGCTTTTTTGCATGAAACACTGTAAGTGCTTTTGGAACCTAAAAATATGCTTCTTTTAAGAAGCACTTTAAGTGCTTTTAGAACTTAAAATATTTTGTTTAAAAGTGTTTTTAATTATTTTAAAAGTACGTTCAAGCAAACCCTTTATGTGCAAGATGTCTGTTAGGTAATAAATGACAGAGTTTATATCTATAATTGATACTACGTCAATACATTTTGTGGTAAACACGTTTACTAATGTTTTGGCAATATATCAACAATTAACCTATCATTTAACAAATATTGAACAGTTGCGTAAAGAAGAACTGAACAATCCACGATCAATTTATTACAAAAGAAAATGTCAAAAGATTTGCTGTGTTTCGGAATAAAATCCAAGAACCCCACGACTGCATCATAACTAACAGCCTACCACACTACACAACATGTTCAAACCAAAAAGCATATAAAGTGTTCTATCCCTTTCATCAAATATTGCAACCAACAACAACACACCATAACCATCACAAGTAGCTCAGTAGTTCGAGACGACTTTCAGGTTTATATTTCAAACGACACGTCCTGGGTTCAAATTTGGCTCCGGTGAACTACACGATGTTGGTCTGTGAAGATTGAAATGCCTATGTAAGTCTTCTTAGCATTTAGAAAAGTAAACTGACGTGACAAAACCACCGACTAATCTTTTTTTCTTTAAAAAAAAAAAAAAACCAACACATTATAACTTCATTCGTATTTATTGCTGGACAAGCCTTAAAATAATGAATTTTTAAATTTTTTAAGGATCCAAGAATTTCTTGCCAAATCTGAACATAGTCCATACTAGACAAAATTTGAACCCGATAAATCACTATAACGAAAATTGTAAAGACATTAAAAGGAGTTTACAACCGAGTTGGCTATCTTGATTTCGATTCCAATCTCGATTATCGTTTGTTAAAAAGAAAAGAATATTAGCTAGACATTTTATCTCTTTTCTTTTTTTTGGGTTCGCAAAAAATGGACCAACTTTGATAAAAGTTGAAATTAGATATCACGCGGGAGTCTGTTGGGGTAGTCACATGATCCACGAATCTCCAGCCTGCCTTTTCAACGATTGCGACTACTCCGCCCTCCGTTTACAGTCCTTTTGTCCTTTTTCTTGTTTTACCTTATCTACCCCCGCCTTTTTTCCATATTTACATGCATGCCCCTCCCAAGATTATCACCGACTACTGCTAATCCAATATTATCTCGAAACCTATTTGATCTCATAGACTAATCAATTGAGTTATCAAGACAATTAACATGCATGCTTCAATCCAAAAGAAGATGATGACACGTATGCTTTGAGACACAAGTACTAATCTTGCTCCTAATCATGAGTGGCAAATTAAATACACTTAAAAGTAAGAGATTTCAAGTTCAACTTTTATAAATAGCTAGTTTAACAATTTTAATTAAAGAAAAAATGTTAGTTAAAGTCAACCCCAAACTAATAAATCTCTTTTGCTTTGCGAGTGTCTTGAGAAAAATGTCTTTCACACTCAGTCTTACCCTTGCATCGAAAATAAATTTTTTCAACGACACAAACCCGTAACCTTTGAGTCACAAAGAAACAACCTTTTTATTGTGCCAATTCTTGTGAATGAATACCAATCTATTATGATCATCACCTATTGCACGACTTACCCCAAATTCCTCACTCCAATACTATAAAATATCATTATATACAAAAATAAAATAACTTATAAACTCTTATAACACCATTAAGAAATAAAACACCATTAAATTAAAAGTAAATAATTTGATAACGTACGCCAGAATTTCTATTAAAAAAATGAGATTTGATTTTGGAAACTAGGGTATTAATAAACAATATATATGAAGTGCTCAACTTGGAATTATGAAAAGATTAATAATCACTCTCCCAACTTGTATGTATTCTAATATTATTCTAACCACTATAAAGTATTATTCATATTTCATATATAAACAACACCGTGTTATTTACATACTTGTTCTTACCATTCACATATTCTTATTAATTATGATGTCAATTTATTCGATCGACGATAAAAAATTAAAATAAGTATCTAAAAAATAAAAATAGATTTGTGGATATTGCTACGCTACCCTATAAACAATCCTTTCACGAAATCACCACCTCATGTTCATCTACTTGCAACCTTTTTATATCATCAGATTTTGGGCATTGCGGTTGTCCCATTCCAATAAGATTAATCCAACCAGGCATGACCTTTCCCAATGTGGTTATGGGAGGGTCCACACCCATAATTCTCTTCATTTGGAATTAGACACCTTAATTAAAAAATATAGTAGAATAAAATATGTGTATCGAGGGCATATCCGTCCTAAAAGAAAAATACCTTCAAGCATAAATGCGCCCCCATCTCGTGTTCATATGATGGTTCACTAGCCCTAGAACCACCAGATCTCATTCATTGTCTTCTTCTCCTTCTGTGCTCTAATTAATTTTGTGTTGATTTTTCACACGTGTGAGCACAGAAAACATGGATGCTAGCTCCGCTCCCCCATATGGTCTAACCCTAGCTGAGTTTTCCGAGCTGGAGAGCCTCATCGACACGTACCACAAATTCGAGCCGTCGCCGAACACATGCACGTCTCTAATAACGCAGAAAATCGAAGCTCCGGCGCAGCAGGTTTGGCCATTGGTCCGGAGCTTCGACAGCCCTCAAAGATACAAGCACTTCATCAAGAGCTGCAACATGAAAGGCGACGGCGGAGTTGGGAGCATAAGGGAGGTGACGGTGGTTTCGGGGCTCCCGGCGTCGACGAGCACCGAGAGGCTGGAGATTTTGGACGACGAGAAGCACATAATAAGCTTTAGGGTTGTGGGAGGGGAGCACAGGCTTAATAACTATAGGTCGGTTACTTCGGTCAATGAGTTCGTTAACTGCAAAGGCGAGGAGGGGGATAATCAGGTTTACTCGATTGTTTTGGAGTCGTATGTGGTGGACATACCGGAAGGGAACACCGAGGAGGATACAAAGATGTTTGTGGACACTGTGATCAAGTTGAACTTGCAAAAGCTTGGGGTGGCTACTATGGCGGCGAATCCGCATGGCAATACTGTAGGAGGACATGATCAATCATAAATTGCTTCTCTTTTTTCTAATTTTTTTTTTTTTTTTTTTGTCAAATTTTAGTGGTTAGCATTGTTGTTAATTTTGATTCAAGTTGACTATTGTTCCCATTTCTTATTTTTATTTACTTTGTCAATAATGTACATTGGGACATTGGGATATATTCGAGATATATTGTAATGGGGGATATTATTTTTTAAATGCTATCCCCTCTTCAATAAAATAACAAGAGCAAAGCACTATGGTTGGTTGTTTTTTTTTTTTTTAATTTATTATTAAATAATTAAAAAGACAGGGGGGGACTTCAAATCCGAAAGTTCGGAACCGAATGGATGAAAATCTAACACTTCTACTAGGATATTGGAACTCGGGACGCATGGTTGGTATGTTTCAACATATTATAAGCTTTTCGTTATTATCTTATTGAAATCCACCGGCCTCCTCTAGACTTGAACCGTAAGATTTTGAAACCTGTCTTCAATTAAATAAATATGTCCTACATTGAGAAATTAAAGTTTTGTATGGAAGTTTGGATGCTCTAATTCTTATGTCATCAGACCAAGTTATTTGGCTGGTTTGAGATTGAATCAATGGTGTGTTTACCAATAGGGGTTGAAATAAATGACAGGAACCGCTCCCCATTTGAAAGGATTCCAATGTTTACTCGGCATTTTGGGAATGAAAACATAGTGGAGTTCGCTTAAAAATAAGAACTCAACTCCATAATTTGGAGGAATTGGATTGCTGAGATAGAGGTGGTAATCCCACTTTGGATGAAAGCCTCCATCTGGAATCCTACTTTTCTAACCAAAATACCCTTAAAAGGCTTCAGCACCCAACCCCTCCATCTGCACATGCACCCTACCGAAGTAAAGTTCGAAGCTGTCGTCAGAAGCTCAACCGTGCTTGCACCGTTGCACGACTCCGAGGTTATGACAAACCATCCAAATCGGGGTGACCCGCGAAACGTGGCCTATAAACCTGGCTCACGTGAATTCCTACATTTGACGATTCATTCCCCTGAAATCTAACCTGCACCGACGAAGGAGTGGGTAACTGGAACGAGTAGTGGGAAAAAAAGCAAAGAAATGAGGAGAGCAATGATCTTTGTGTCCAATTTTATGGAATGATCTTACCGACGAAATTTTTTTTGTTGTAACGGAAACACAGATGGTACATTATGTGTTTTTATGTAAATGGTGGAAATTTTTAACTTTTAAGTTATTAACCTTTTAAAACATATAACCCACAATTTCTATAAGGACACGTGGTGTACCACCTCGTGTAACGATCACACTGAAAAATCTCTCCTTACCGACGAAGGAGTAGCTAGCTAGGTAATGGAGGGAGAGGAGTAAGGAAAAAAGGCAAAAAAACAAGTGTATAAAATATTTCATTTGGGATAAGGGCATATCAATAATCATACTGGTTTATACGCTAATTCTGTTGAATTAGTAAACAGTTTTATAGAATCAATACTTATTCTATTCCAATCCCAAAACATTTTAGTAAACAACTTTTATGAAAATCTGAATTTTGATTCTCCTCAATTCAATTTCTCTTCAATCCAATTTATTCAATTTTGATTATATATGATTATGTAAACCTGCCACAAGTTTAAAAAGGACTTAAAATTTTATGACAGCAAAAAACATTTATGACAGCGTTTGATAAAAAATAAAAAACAAAATTAAAAGTGTTTTTTATTATCTTAGAAACGTTTTTTTTTTTTTTTTTTTTTTTTTTTGAGAAATCACCTTTCAAATGGCTTTTTTTATGAAACACTTCTAAAGCTATTTCGTGAAATACTTGACTTTTAATAAAAAGTCTTAGTGTTTCTAATAATAAGTGTTTTTGCTCCAAAAATAATTTCAAACGAATTCTAAAGTCACTTTCATGTCATCTAATATATGTTCAACTTTATGTATCGATCGAGATGATGGTAAGGAGTGGACACATATTTTCTAAGTAGCTTCCATGCATATTAAAGAAGCGGCTGAGATCTTAAATCCGGCGAAAAAATTGATATATATCTGCCATTAAGCTGTGCACCAATAAAGAAAATGAGACCAAGAGAGACAGAGAGAGGGCGATTGAGATTTTTAGAGGGCAGAAATTAGGTGCATAATTGGTCCAGTGCTTTTTTCTAGTGGCGTTAATGTCAACCCTGAATTCAACGGCAATCGGCCATGAAAAAGGAAGAAGAAAAAAAATTAGGGTGAGACTTGTGAGCAAACCTTGAGGAACATGTGATGCTTCGTAACTTTAGTTAATCGGCAAAATTTTGGCTACTTATTCTTCGTTATATAGTCTATTGAGTTCATTTTACATTTATCCAAATGAATAATTCACTATTAGTTGAGTGTATGGTGTAGTAGTAACCTAGATAGGTTAAATAAAGAAATTTAGAAAACAAATGGCTCGTTTGGGATTGCTTCTAAAAGCAGAAGTAAAGCCAGAATTTTAATGAAAAATAGATTCAATATTCGTTTTTTCACTCTTAGATGTTTGGATTCAAGTCACTTGTTTAAACAAATTTAGATTCAATACTCGTTTTTTCACTCTTAGATGTTTCGATTCAAGACTAATCTATTAGTTCACAAACATATAATAGCTCATATTGTAACACGTAAATTTATTTATAACATATAAATACTAGTAATAATACGTAACGGTTTGAGTCGCCTTCGTGCTCCTAATTTTCTCCAAATATTCAATCATCACGATTTGTAGGTCACTATTCATTTGGACTCTGCAATATTTGTATGCATGACTTTACATTCGGCTTTAGGTCCATATATAGTACCTCAAACTTGTCTTGAACCTGGCCCAATTCATGTCTTCCATTTCCTCTGCATTGGTAGTCTCACTGTCACGGTTGTGGAGTTCATATGAAGAGACGTTTATTTCTTTTTCTTTTTTCCTTTTTGGGTTTGTTGATAGCTAGCTTTCCAGATAGCAGTATATATATATATATAAGATCATCTCTAATGGTGGGTTAAAATCTAAACCTTTTCTTCCGTCCCCCCAAATCCACTCCAACCCATGACTTAAAATAAACTTAAAACCTAAAATCCAAATGGGGGTCAAATTCCGGCCCAATTTTAGGCCACAAAGCAAAATGGGCCCCACCAACTGAGACTGAAACCAAGGCTGTGAAGCCCACTTACCAAATCCTACACACCTACGCGCTGCACGTGCTAGGCTTTGGTGAAATATGGACAAACCCACGTGGGGGTGTTCCCCCGGTTGTCAGACCATCAAGTAGCCCAACGGCTATTTTTTATCACCCAACAACTACGTTTAAATGGGCCGTTGGTTAATCCAACGGTCCAGGTTCAAATTATTATTTTTTTAATTTTATATATATATATTTATTAAATCCAACGGCTTAAATCGAATATAATCAAATCTAACGGTAAAAAAAAAAAAGATCTAATGGTCCAACTTTAAATCCAACGGCTAAAATAATTAAAAAAATTAACTTAAAATTCAACCAAAAACTCTATAAATACCTATGTATTTGTTCAAACATTCACACAAAACTCACTTTTTTCCTACAATTCTTCCAATTTTTCTTTCTACCATTTCTTCTCATTTCCAAAATTTTCAAGATGGCAAAGGAACATGTTAGAGGTCGTAATTGGACCTTTGACGAAGATATTGTTTTATGTTAGGCATGGATTTCTATTAGCGAAGATGGTGCCGTCGACACGAATCAAAATAGAAAGGTTTTGTGGGGTAAAATCGTTGATAAGTTCCATGAAAACTCCAACGCTGGTCGAAGGGAAGTTGGTGGTGCTTATGATCAGTGGAAGATTATCAACAAAGCATGCACTTTGTGGAAGGGAAGCTTAGAAAGAGCCACGGTTGACATGCCTAGTGGAAGAGGCGCATCAGAAATTGTGAGTTTCTTTGTTGATATTTTAGTTGTCATGTACATAATAGTATTTTGCAACCAATTGTTTTTATGTATTTGTTGCATAGGCTGACAAAGCAATGACAATTTACAAGACAAGAACTACACCAAAAAATCAAACTTTTAAGTTGCATCATGCTTGGAAGATCCTCAAGGATTGTCCGAGGTGGGAAACCGATGCGAACCAACAATGTGGAAGATTATTTCATATTGAAGCCCCACCCCTAAATGATGTCAATGAAGTTGTGAATTTTGCCGACAATGAAGGTGTCAAACAAATAACCCCAACTTCTTCTTTTGCAAGGCCCCCGGGTAGAGATAAGCAAAAGGAAGCAAAAAGAAAAGGGAAGTCCCAGGATCCGATACATGCACAATTTGCTTGCGAAATGGTAAGATTGAACGAAAACCATATATCTCGGCAAGAAGAATCGCCCCAAATGCGTTTGGCCATGAAGAAAGAAGGGGATAGAAAGCAAGAAAGTTCGAAGTTAATTTTATGATGGAGGACCTCGACAAATACACTCCAAAGAGGAAGAAATACTTACGTGGTAAGCAAAATGACATTTTACGAAAGAATGCCACAAGGAGTATATTTCAAGATGATGATTCATCTCAAGACTATCACCCAAGTCCATCACCAAGTCAAGATGGTGGATATTATTATTAAGTTTATGTAGTTTATGAGTTTTCAATTGTATTAAGTTTATGTGGTTTATTAATTGTCATTTTTATTAAGTTTATGTGATTTGTTAAATGTCGTTTGTATTAAGTTTATGTAGTTTATCATGATTTTCATGTATTGATTTAGTGATTTTTTAAAATTTATTGAAATTTAAATATTTTTAAGTTAAAATGTTCATATAATTAATTTAGGACAATGTACATAATTTTTTTTTACTTTAAAAAAAGTTAATTTAAAAAAATATATATTAGCCTTAATTCATTATTTGATAATCTCGGGCTAAAATTAGATCATAAGGATTGGAGCAGAAAAGTTGTTTATGGCTTAAAACCTAAATTTTCTGTGCTAAATATTTTTAGGTTTTAGGTCACCATCGGAGATGGTCTAAGGTAGGAAATGAATTTCTATAGCATATTAAGTGCCACGGCTGAGGGCAAATTATATAGCCTGAGTGTAAAACTATATTGACACTATGTGATACTATAAGAACAAGTAAAGCCAACAGGATCCTCTTCGGATCGTTTTGGTGAGGATCCTGATAATTCGTGAATCGTATCCGTTTATCGTATATTATGTAATCAATTTTTATCAAGTACTGTTTATGTTTATTTTTAAATAAAAATATTTAAAACGATTTCTGACCGTATGACATACGATAAACAGACACAATTCATAAATCCCGGAATCCTCACAAAGAAAATTTGGTTAGGATCCGGACTCCAAGTAAAGAGAGGTTAACCAATTTTTTTTATTATTAGTTTGAGATGTTATTATAAAAAAAGAAAACTAATAAAAAATATTTGAAAACTTTAAGTTTTAACGATAAGGACAAAATAAATGATAAATTGAATAGTATAAAAATTGACTTTTTAATGTAAAAATGTGATTTTTCGTTAAAGTTTCCTTATAATAATGCATCCATATCATACAAGTTCTTATCACAAAATCATCTCGTGATAATGAAAACATATGTAAGTTACTCTCTCGTA